TCTGAAAAATTGTGACCTGTAGGTTAAACGATGGAAAACAAGACGGACACACGGACAATCAAACTTAGATTCAGTTTTAAAAAATGATTCTGAGTCTATCGCTATAATAATAAGGGATGGATCTATCACAAATCCTTCAGTATCCAGTAATCCGAAGTAATAAAACTTAAGCATTAACAATTAGTATCTGAAGAGAATGTTTTATTTGAAATACCCCTAGCTGGGTGAAATATAAGCCAGAAATAATTTACATATTATAATAAGTAAGAAAATTATATTCGGTCGTGACTGAATCTTTTATACCCATCACTGTAATCTAAAAAGAGGCAAAAATAGTAGAAGAACTAAATTTCCACGCTCTATGCTCTGAATTATAAGCGGCTGATGTTCTCTATTTTCAAAGTAAAAGTTTTTATCGCATAGGCATGTGGGTGTTGTAGGCGAGTCCTTGGTAAAAAGTCTAGGTCACTTCCGAATTCTTTTGCGAATTTGTAGATGCTATCTTTGCTTTCCGTAAGGGAAAATTGCTTACCACAGATACTATACAATTGCGCAGATAAACAGATGGACACACGAACAGACGGACATGTTTCAGTGCACTCCACATATGAAACTGGCCATCAATTAATACACTTTATGGGGATTTTCAAACTTGTTTCTACGCGTTATGAAGGTATTGAAAAAAAAAACAACAAATTTTGATGCATTATAATAATGATAGATGCGGTCCATTTTTTTCAATTTTATACAATTACTACAACCCTAGATATATATGCCACAAATTTTTGCAGATTTATTTGTTGCAGTTGATGAGTAGTGATCGAAAAACTAAATTTCCTTTTGAGAAATAGAGGTGTTCTCAATTTACGTGGTAGTGTGGACGTGCTCTTCCACCGACACGGCCAATTATTTTTACCGTGCAGCGTGCAAGTACGTCCAATGTTTCTGCCGAATTTGAAATCGATCGCCTAATTTTTGCGACCCAGAGAATATTTACAACAGACATTACACAGACGAACGGACGGGCATGCTTGAATCGTTTTCGAATTTTATGCTGATCAAGAATATGTATAATCTGTGGAGTCTATGATGCTTCCTGCTGGGCGTTGCAAACGTTTTGACAAAATGAAATCATCCTTCGGTGATGGGTATACAAACGCAAGTAGGAAGAATAAAAACAACATATATATGTATGTTTGAATAATTTCCGTCAAATCATAGCTTATCGTAATATCGAATTTCAATTATTCATTATTATTGTTATTTTTTAATTAACAGCTCCCATTTATATGCTTTATGTGGGATAATTCCTGCTAACACAATTGTTAAACATGATTTTATTCATTATAAGTAATGTAATCATTAACAAGATTCACTAGACATAGCTGCATATGTTGAATGCTTAGCACGCGCACACAGGTTTAACGACGAAGGCATTCACTTTACTAACTTCTCGGTAATTACGTACATATTCACAGTTGAACACAAGAAAGAGACGAAAAGGCAACCCTCCTCCCAAACATAGTACATAATATCCGAGTAATGCTTCATAAAGTTTTAATGCTGGAGGATATCTAACGAACAACATCAACTAAAACGAACAAGAAAAACATGTACAATCAACTATTAAAAAAACAAGAAATATAAAATCAGTAAGGGAGCATAAGAAAGGTGAAAAGGGAGCGTTAGCACTAAGCAAACAGATGCAGGATATCTCAACTTAAAGGCGTCATGCTAATATTTCACATCATTTTTGAACTGTCTATATAAAGCTGTCATTGGAATGACAGGCGAAAGATAACAATTATGGGTTGTTTTTTTCATTTGCCTTCAACACAGATTCCCTGGTTGGGTGCTCGAGATGCACGAAAAAGATCGTAAATCGACAATAATAATTTTATAGCTTTATTCTAACCCCAAAACCTCAAAAGTGAAACAGGTAAGAATATCATATTCGGCCCCGATTGAAACTTTTGTACCCATTACCGTCACCCTAAGACGGACTAAAAAGATAAAGAAAAAACTAAATTCTCACACTTTTTACTATTAGAACTAATATATATATATATATATATATACATATATATAAATATTGAAAATTTATATCGTATATCAGTTGCTGTTTAGTAGTAACAAGCAAAAAAGAGGGAAAGCGAATGTGTTCTTAGTTTTTTTTGCATAGACGTAGTGTACGTGTGTGCTTTGATCAATTGGGATCATTTTCAAATTCCTTCGGAAATTCGTAGCCTATATCTTTATTTTCGCTAACAGGACAACGTTTACCACAGATACCACACAGTTGGACAGACGAAGACACAGGCATGCTTAAATCCAATTCCGAATTGGATACAGGCCAAGAACTTGTATATTATACTTTATGGGGTTTGTAAAGCTTGCTTCTGCACGTTATAAAGTTATTGAGAAAAACAAAGTAAAATTTTAACATACTATAATAGTCGTCGTCGATTTTTCCATTTTTATTCAAGCACTACGCCATCGCCCATAGAATATACTTTTAACTGTACTGTGTACATTTATCTGATGTAGTTTTTGAATAATGGGAAAAAAACACATTTTTTTTTCTTTTTGAAAAGCAAAGATGTTCTCAGTTTACGTAGCACTGCACGCGTCCCCTTAGACCGATTTGGACCATTTACGTAAGTAAAAACTTCCAATTTTGCTGCCAAATTTGAAGCGGATAACTCGTAGACATACGGACGGAGCAACATGCTTAAATCGATGAAGAATTTGATAATGATCACAAACATATATAAGAAGACATATACATCAGAAGCTTTCTTCTGTATGTTACAAACGTTTTTAAACAAAAGTATATTCCCCTGATCCTGCGGTGATGAGTATAAAAGGCTTTACTAGACATATATTTGCATTCTTGATGAGAGTAAGAGTTTTTATTAAATTAATCATACGCATCTATTAGACTGCGATTACTGCTATTGGAACGCTCACACTCACCGAAATTAAAATGAATATATTAACCTTTAAACTCATAGCTTAAACCATTAAATCCTTTTAAAAATAATCTCTTTCCGCCAAAGAAACTAAATACAACCTGGAAGAGCTGATGCTTTAAAATGAAAATATGAAAATATGGTTTATAATAACCTACGAAGTAATTATTTCAAATATTAGTTCAACATTTTGCATATACATACATTGTGTTTATATGTACATATTATACAAGGGATCTGCAATTAACAAAAGTTTTCGTTACACTTGCTTGCAATGAAAGGCTTTCTTAGTAATTTTAGATGAAATGGTAGAAAAGAATAGAAAATAATTTGTAAAGCAACTCAACTGAGATATAATAGGTAAAATAGTTGCCTAAGCCTTACAGTTACGAGTTTTTTAAAGCCATAGTCATATGCTTATGCCCTACATCAATTATGAAATAAGGATACATTAAATTTTTGCGGATGTATGTAACATCCAGAAAGACTTTAGATAGACCGTCTTCTTATTGCACCGACTGATCCAGAATCATTTTCTGAATCGATCTGTCCTTGTCTACCCATCGTGTTTTCGCGTGTTCAACATATGGGTCGCAATTTTTGAGATATTTTGACGAAATCTGATACGCGGACATGTTTTAACCCAAGGGCGAACGGTTTTGAAAATGGTTTAGACCGGACCACTTACTCGTATTGAGCGAACAGATGCAGGGTATCCAATAGTGGAACATGTCTCACTACAGTGTTTTTGCCTGTTTGTTGTTAAGTTCAAAGCGTTGCAGCTAAACAAAAATAAACTAAAAACAAGTAAGAAATTTATATACGGTCGTGATTGAATCTTTCATGTCCATCACTGTAATCCAAAAAAATACAAAAAAGCAAAAGAACTAAATTTTTATGCTCAATAATATGGAGTAGGCGCGGCTGATTTTTTCTATTTTCAAAATAAAAGTTTTTGCCGCATAGACGTGTGGGCGTTGTAGTCACGACCTTGAAGGATTTAGGTCGCTTCCGAATTCTTTTGCAAATTTGTGAGCGATATTCGCATTTCCGCTAACGAGAAACTCCTTACCGCACATACTACACAGTTAGGCACCCGGGCAGATGGACAGACGGACATGCTTAGGTGCGTTCCGGATTTGGAACTGGCCAAGAATTTGTATACTTTTTGGGGTTTTCGAAGCCTGTTTCTGCGCCTTATAAAAACATTGAAAAAATATTAAATTTTAATACACTATTATATTAGGTAGGCGTAGATAACTTTTTTCTATTTTTCTACTGATACAGTACAGCATCGCCCATAATTTATGCACTCAAATTTTTGGCCATTTATCAGCTGTAGTATATGAGTGATAAAAAAAACCAATTTCTTATTCCTTTTGAAAAACAGAGGTGTTCTCCGTTTACGTCCTACTGTGGGCACGTCCTTCAACCGATTTGGCCTATTTTAAATGCCACGCTGGGTGCACGAACGTCCAATGTTTCTGCCAAATGTGTGGCTAGAAAATGGTTACAAAAGACATTACACAGACGGACAGACGGACATGCATTAATCGATTCGGAATTTCATGCTGATCAAGAATATGTATAGTTTGTGGGATCTCTGAAGCTTCCTTCTGGGCGTTGGAAACGTTTTGACCAAATGAATATACGCCCCATCCATCGGTGGTGGGTAAAAAGTTGTCTTGATAAAGATTTTGAGCCAAAATTTCGCCTTTCAAGTCGTTGGATACAACCACATCATCTAATGGCAGAGATCTCCCAATATTTATAGTCTATACAACTTATGATATATGGTTCCTTAAGTTTGTACGGATGTATGCAACACCCATAAAAGCTGAAGATTAATCCGTTTATATATTTTTAGGCCGATCAGTTGAAACATCCATTTCATGGATCCCAAATCCAAATTATTCATAAATTGTGGTGAACAAGGTATAATTATTCCAGTTGACAAAGCTTTTATCTTAGTTCTATTTGATTTGATGGATTATGAGAAAAATTGCAAATAATTCAGTTCTATGTGAATTAGTCTATAATTTTATTACTATTAAAACAATCAATCCCAAGGATGTCATAAATATATATAAAAGATTGGCTATCATTTGTGAAGGAGCTGAGCTTTTGGTATTCTTTAATATAGAACGTTGAGTAGTTTCACTTTGTATCCATTCCTTGCAACTGGTTTCATTTTTAATGAAACGGAAAACCGATTCCGCTACATTGGCCGGTGTATACTCTTCACATTGTTCCAAATGATGGATGGTGCAGGTCTCAAAGCGTTGCAAATCTAAGCAATGCTCAGGTTGTAATACCAAATCTGGTAAATTATATAAATCTGGGATAGTTGTAGTGTTCGATAGAAATTCACTAAATGATGTATTCGCGCAATGCAAGATGGCCTCCTTATTAACTTCGAAACATTCCGGTCCATCTTCGGCCACGAATAGGGCGAGATGATCACCGCCGCGAATGCACATGAAATGCATTAAACCAGCAGCTAAACGCATCATTATCGTATTTTGAGTTTTTTCTGCCGGACTAAGGCACGGCTGTATAACCTCGTTGAAATTTTGCAAGCAACGTTCGATTGTAGGTGCCTTTTCGCAATAATGAGAGAAAACGGTATCCAATTCACCGATAGGACGAGCGATATTAATTTCTTCTTGCATAGCCGTCAAATTGACGAGACCTGTAAGGCAAGCGACCGCAGTTGTGGCGCTACTTTCCACTTCATCGTATAAAGTTGGATTTTCTAAACCCGCAACTTTTTTGCACTTGGCGCTAAATACGCGCTTAAGTTCATCTGTAAAAGCAAAATATAACAAAAGGGATGATCGACCGGTGAGAAAAAAGAAAAAAAGGGGAAAAAAACCTATAAAAGCACTGTCATATGTACCAACCTACAGTAAAATTTATGTTACGATATTCAACGGGCAAAAATTGCTTCCTTAGACCGTCCAATTGCTTGGCGACATCAAATGCGTGAGTTTGTGTTATTCCCAGGTGCATCACAGATATGATCATCGCTATTGGAATCCATAATTTTATATTCAACATATTTATTATTACCGAGACCGACCACAGATTAAAGTACACTAAGTGTGCTAACAACTTGAAATTCTATAAAATAATTGTATTATTATTTATCAAACAGTTTAGTATACGAACGCATATATGTATTGAAAGCAATCGCGTTTCTCACTAATCTTATCGCTATCAAGTTATTCGATTTGTACAAATGATTATTCATTAAATATTAGTTCAATTTCAGGAAAGAAACAAAGTACAATCGTCATCAAGTCAAGACAAAAATTGTGCATACAGTTACGTGTAAAATTGTGCTGCATTTATTCAATTGTTATCGGCCAAATATACTAGAATCTAACAATGGCTATCTTGGCTGTGATTAAACTCGATGTTGTATTTGAAATTAAACTGACTTGCTCACGCTGTAAGCCTAATTGTATTTTGTGAAAAGCTTCGGAACAAATGCCGTACATTTGCTTATTAATGAAGCAATTGAACCATAAATTTTCGCAATGAAAATCCTCTTCTTTTTCAGTAGATTTTCGAATACGCATTAATTGCGAATGATGGCCATTAGAATTCAGATTTTGATATGAACGAGATCTTATGCATGTGCGTATATAAATCTTTGAATCGCAAGCAAATTAATGTGTGTTCGCAATCGTACATTTACATGCTTCAATCAAGGAACGAGGTATACATAATTCGCGGCAAGCAGTATATGCAATACGAAAACGTAAGTATCCTGTATACGCACACATGTTCACTATGCATGAACATGTATTTACTGCGGCATTTACAAAAAAAAAAAAAAAACAACCACATTCGCAAAGTAATTCATTTCCAAGCTTGTCACAATAGTTTTCTAATAGGTCGGGTAATAGTGAGACTCCGTTACCAATAGTTTATCAAACCAATAAAATATACAGAATATTTTACTTCATTCTAAACTGCAATAACCGCAATAACAGCAACAGCTAATGACCTGTAAGAAGCCGCACTTTTTTCACTTTATAATGACAGTCAGAAATAAGTCATTTACTGGTTAGCTTTAAAAGGCTGGTTAGCTGATGCGGCATTCATCAGCCCTTAGGAAGAGAGAAAAGTCGAATGGAATATTTTCAATAAAAAAATACCTACATTAACTACGACGATCAAAAAGTATACGGTATAAAGTTTTCCTAGATCGTCCTGGTCTAGTGCATTATCAATTTTTTCTACCGATAGAAACAAATACATAACAAGAGACATGACTTAAGCGTTTGTATCTCGCTTACAGTACCATTAATAATCGAACTATATAGGGCATTAGTTAACTTGCCCTTTCAGAAATTCAGCATAATCTAAAAAATAAAATGTATTTCGTACATTGGTATTTTCCAGGCGATTTGGTCCTATACAGCAGACAATTATGGAACACAACCAGTTATTTTAAATCTAATATTGAAACATTTTAAAAATATCAATCCAAAAGGTATAATTCTTAATAGTTTATCATGAAAATAAATAAAGAACTGTGTTATACGAAGTGGTGTACTCTACCTGTCTAGTGATCGATCTTAATTGACCATAATGATCTTACATGTTACAAATATCAAAAATTTGCCTTAAATCGAACTTAAGATCAACCGCTACGAAGGCAATGTTCGTGGGCTCAAATATCAGTGCGGCAGAGTTTACTTTGTTCGTAGCTAGAATCGGTGCCAACTGACCATTAATAAAAGTGTAAATAAAAATCCTTACACTAGGCTGCGGTTGCCCCCCTACCTCTCCCCCTTTCTTCAGTTCATTCTGACCGTTAAGAAACATCCCCTCATCCTGGTCATATTAGAGGACGAAAACGTTAAGAAAGCAAATGAAAGCGAATAATATCGCGTTTCAATTGCTACCTAACTACGTTGAGATATTATTTCTCGGAATATTCATCACGTAAAGACCTATAACTGCGCAACACATGTTGTTCGTTACAATAAATTCTCTAAATTAATTTAGATTTCATTTTCTTTAGTATCAGAAAACTTCCCTACCATATCATTAATGGAATAAAATGTAATTTAAAACCACTTAACCTAATGCCTTCCTTTTGGCGTAAGAAATGAGAAAAAAAAAAATAATAAGTTTCTTACTCTTGCACTTAGTTAGGCGTATACGTATTACTCAGAAGTGAAAATGCTCTCAATTGTATGAAATCTTTAAATAACTTGTGACTACACGCCATTGTCGCTACAGTTTGTCTGCCATTTATTTTCAATAAATATTTAAATGTTTGCAACAACTAACAAAATCGCACTTAAGAAGATGAACAACATTTTGCTCCATATACATTTTGTTATAGTAAAAATCGGAAGAACTTTAATGCAAAATAAGTAGTACATGTAAAGGATTTCCATTTGCGTAGATAATAAAATATATACGAAAGTATCAACTGTGTGATCATCGGCAGACAAAATTAAGTAAAAAGTTACAGTTGCGAATAAGTCTATCACTTATGGCAACACATTTAAGTGTTTTCTCTTTAGAGGACCGTTTCATTTCTAGTTGAGATCTTTGGGTTATGTTGAGATTGCTATCAATTTTTTTTTTTTTTTTTTTTTTGTAGTTTGTCCCGTGAAGGAATTAAGGAAGAACTCTAACGGGACACGGATCTAATTCATTTTTAAAACTAACCACTATTAAGTTTAAATGTATGTATTGGCTTTTATACGCCCACCCAAGATGTTAAAAGAGTTCTTTGTTAAACAAATCCATTAATCAAAGTATGATCGGCCCATCGGTAGCCGATATTTTTCGAAAGGATATCGGATTTTTCGCAAATTATTCTAGAAAGTCTGGCTTCAAACCAGGAGTATATAGACCCGAATTTTTATAAACTACACGGATCAGGAGAATAACTCTCGGTCCTACTATTACTGGAAATTGCCGATAATTTCTTCATATTTAACCTCTTTCCATCTGGCTGAGCATCCACACCTAACCGCCACCACCTAAGGCGTACAATTTGAGAAACTCACGAATAAGTCAAACGTGGTGATTTCATTTCTCTACAAGACATTTTTTTTTATAGGAAAGAGAATTCCAGAGAATTCCGATATGACGGTATGTACAGAAACTAAAAAACAAACAAGTGAGAAAATAACATTTGGTCGTGGCCGAATCTTCTATACCCACCACCGTAATCCCGCAAAAAAGGAGACAAAAATATATTTTCGCATTCTATAATATTGCATGATCGCGGCTGATTTTTTACCATGTCAGGCTAAAAGGCGAAATTTGTATGGTGTACGTGCTGTAGTTTATGAGTAACAAACAAAAAACACGGTGAGCAAAGGTGTAAACAGTTTTCGGTACATAAAGGTACATAGGGGTTGTAAGCGAGTTGTTTGAAAACTTTTGGATCATTTTGCTATACCAACGGTAGAATACTACATAGTCGCGCAGGCGAACGAATGGATAGATGAACGGCCGGACATGCTTAAGTACATTCCGAATTTTAAACTGGCCACGAATTTATACACTTTATGGGGTATTGAAACTTGCCACAGGGCGTTATAAAACTATTGCAAAAAAAAACAAACTACAATATCGGGTAGGCGTGTCAGTTTTTCCCGATTTCTTGCAAATGGAATAAACGTTCAAAGTCTTGTAAATTTATCTGCTGTAGTTTAAGAGTAATGAGTACTAAATCAATTCATTATTTCCTTCCTCCTGTTTTTCTTAGTTTACATTGCATTGCAGGCGGTGTTCTTCGCGCGAGTACTTCCAATCTTTGTGCAAAATTTGAAAAAGATAGGTTAAGATGTACGAGCAGACGTACTCAAACCGACTTAGAATTTGAAACTTCCTTCCGACTAAATGAATATACCCCTGATCCTTTGGTGATGGGCGTAAATATAACAATTTCGTCTTCTTCTTGAATGTTCAGCGAACAAGCAAACAATAATATTTCAAAATAATAATTTTAATAAATTATATTTTTGCCATTAATAACAGCTGCTCTATTTATTTTAAACTAATATATAGACGACTGGATGATTACACTGAGATTAATATCTTGCAAATAACTACTGAATTAATCAATGATTATAGGTTAGTCTTCATACGTACGTAACGTGTAACAATACTTAACCAGCGTGAATAAAATAGTACAAGAAGGTTCACTTTTATCTCTCGCCCAGCTAGCGAAGATTTAATACATCTTCGTTTACCAAAGTCTAACTTTGTTTTACTTTCTTAAATAAAAAATATGGGCAGCTATAGCTGTTTCGTATAAAACTTTCAGTAAATAGCGTTTACTTTCTCTCAAGGAAGAAGCAAGAGTTTTCGAGGCCATTTCTTCTGTAGACCCACGGATGTACAACTTAAATTCAAATTCCAATATTCCAAAATGTTTGCTTTCTTCTATCATTTAAATACTATCTCCGTTTCATGCGCTTAGAACGAAGAAGTTTATAAAATTTGCGGCCATTTTCAAATACATTCTAATAATACGGCACAAGGAATACTCAATAGATTCCACATTGACATATGCAAGTGTGTACATGCCAAATGGCAAGAGTATTCTGCAAAAAAAAAGAAAAGAAGACAAAGAAATTATATTCGGTTCTGATCGAATTTTTTATACCCATCATCGTTATCCTAAAATTTAATTATAAAAAAAAAAAGACTAAAAAAATACATTTGCACACATCTTTGTCGACCGATTTACTTATTATATTCATTACCAACCCACTTGCAAGCACTTTGAATGTTTCTCCTACATTTGAAGAAGATAGCTTCATGTTGGCGGCCAAGAGAACTTTTCCAACAGCTGCTATATAGATGTACAGGAGGAGAGACCAATGGCCGGATATGCTTAAATCGATTCAGAATTTGATGCTAATTAAAAATGTACATACTTGGTAATGCCTTTAAAGTTTCCTTCTAGATGTTGCGAAAATTTTGACAAAATGAATATACCCTTTATGCTTTGGTGATGGATATGAAAGTACATGTCTAAATCATTTAACAATATTTTCAAGTGTCTAGTTTAGTGTAATAAATGGAAAACGAGTATACAACTCGAACATATATGTATATTAGTAAAATGTACAAAT